AAATCCTAAAAGTCATGTGGCTATGCAAGAAATAGATGATGAGAATGAGACAAATACTGGTGAGGAAAATGGCAGGCCTTTGTGCTCTTCTGCTCTTAAAGACTTTGACTTTCTCCGTGTCCTCGGGAGAGGAAGTTACGGTAAAGTTTTACTAGCTCGCCATAAAACAACAGATCACCTCTATGCCATGAAAGTGGTGAGAAAGGACGATGAAAACCTTATTCGTCTCCAGGTAGAGAAGCAAATATTGGAGAAGAGCTTGAACCACCCTTACCTGGTTGGCCTGCATTCCTGCATCGAGACACCAACCAGATTTTTCTTTATCCTGGATTACATCATACCGTCTGCAACAGTTCGGAATCTTTCCTGAAGCACATGTGAGATTCTACTCCGGGGCGATCTCCTTAGCTATCAAGTTTCTTCATGAACATGAGATATTACACAGGGATCTGAAGTTGGAGAACTTGTTACTAGATGCAGACGGACACATTAAAATTACCGATTACAACCTATGTAAGGCAGGACTGAAGGCAGGCGAGAAGACCAACACTTTTTGTGGCACACTCAGTTATCTGGCTCCAGAAATCATCAGAGGCGAAAGCTATGGTTTCAGTGTGGACTGGTGGAATCTTGGAACAGTCATGTTCGAAATGATGGTGGGAGAGCCTCCTTATCCTTTTGCAGACAGTCCCAAGAACTCTGATCTAAACACATACAAGGTCTTGCAATCTATGTTAGAAAGAGAAGTCCACATTCCACATCACCTGTCTGTAGAAGCCAGAAGCATCCTCAAGGGTCTTCTGAAGAAGGAGCCAGAGGTAAGATTGGGCTGTCACCCTCAGAGAGGATTCATCGATATTAAAGAGCATCCATTCTTTAACAATCTGGACTGGAACATGATGAAAAAAAAGCAAGTGACTCCTCCCTTTAAGCCAAGTATTGGTACAGAATTCGGGATAGAAAACTTTGACCCTGAACTTACCAACGAACCTGTCCAGCTCACAGCTGATGACAGTTACTTTGTGAACAGCATAGATGAATTTGGGCTTTGAGTACATCAATCCCCTTTTCACATAAGAAGAATGAGTCTGATTGTCACCTTCCAGTTAAGCATCTGTTTGTATATCTAATGCATGACAAAACTTGTTACCAGCTTGCATTCAACTGACACTTTTATAATTGCCTGGAAGATCATTTTAATTTCCTTTATCTATATGAAGATGCCCTGCTTGATTTTGGTTTTTGGTTGACAAAGTTACTTTTTATGATAAGACTTAACAATGAGGCAATTTCTTTTTACCAAGTTTGTAAACACATTCCATTTGTTTTAAAACACTACATTTCTTTTAGCTGCATTGTACACCCACTAAATCAGTGCATGTGATAGGACAGTGGTAAACACTAGGGTTTGGACTTCTATGCACTTCTCCAGGATGATATTCAATATATTCCAGTTGAAGGGAAAACTTCTGGAAAGTTCAGACCTACATGCCAGAAAGTAATAGTGTAAGCATTCTCACCAGTGAATCTTCGGCAGATAATGCAACCCAACATAACAAGGACAGAGACCTGCTAGAAATTTATGCCTTAAAAGAGCCCCAAAGTCAGTGAAGAAAAACATTTGTTTGCTTTTTACTTCACTGATACATGTTTCAAATTTGTACCCATATATGATGTATTTTAATTCTTCTTTACCCAATCCTCTGTTCTCACTTCAAGAGAGAACAGGCCCAGCTGCAGGCGTGCATGCCAGTGCAGGCGGCACCAGCAAGAACAGCCTGGGAAACGGGTGCGCACTCCTGCAGGCAGGACCTGTGGCGGGAGCAGTCTGAAGCAAGAGGGAGAATATGAAGCAGCCGCTGGTCATCAGGTGAGCATTATGTCCTACCACACAGACAGGAAGAACAGAAGTGGGTGGGAGCATTTTATATCAAAGAGCTCTAGGAGAAAGCAGGAAACAAAAGATCTGCCCCAGTTCCTAAACCCAGAAGCCAAGGTCATGCTCATAGGCTGCCGCACAAGCCCCACGTGACTGGAGTACGCATTGCTGGATTCTGACTTGGAAACTGCCAGAGAACTATGGACACCAGGGCAATTTTCCTACTTTTATTTTCCTCTGTCTGGCTGTTTGTTCTCTGGTTGGTTTTGCCTGTTTTGTTTGTGGCTGTGTTACTTTGCCTTTATTTTGTCTTTTTCTTTTCTTTCAGCTTTCTTTTTTTTTTTTACCATGTTTTTTTTTTCTATTCATCTTATTTCTCTTTTCCTCAACTATCTCCTGATTTGGTAGCTTCACACGAATGAATATTGTTTCTTGTCTTTCTGGTTTACTTCAATACCCCTTCACTTGCAGTTTCATTTTCTTGTCTCCTGTGTCCTCCAGTTTCCCAAAATTTCAATTATTATCCTTAAACCCCAGCCTTGCTTCTACTATATTTGAACGTTTTCATCTCTCTGTCTTGTCCTTTATCTCTGTAAATTCTTCTCTCTTCCCACACAATGTAAAATCACTCCATTTAGGGGGAAATCATTGCATACAAGTTCCTGATATATATTGCATTTTGTCATATAACTGTAAAATTTGCTCCTTGTTAAAGGTATCAGGTTGACAGTTACAGTTTGTCAGTAGATAGCCTGTACTTGATGCTACTATTATTGACAACTGTACTACGTTAGGCAGGATTTCATATATGTTATGTGTTTGTCCCTTGTATGATATTAAGGTGATTGTATGAGATCACAGTCACATTCATTGTTCAGGACCAAAGGATTGGGTGCCAAGCCAAATAGATAACAATTTTTCATCCTTAATCAATTGGGAAAATAGGTTTTTGAGATAGACAAAAGACATTTCCTAGGGAGTCCTAAATATTACTGATAAAGATGCCTACCATAAGAAATCAGCAAGCAAAACAGTGAAAACAAAATAAAGTAAAAGGAGAAGATGAAAATATGCAGAAGCAAAATGCAATCCCAGACCCCCCAGCCCACCCATGACAAGCCCAGAGCACAGTGAGATAAAGGAAATCAAAAGCAAAGCATTGAAATTTTCCAAAATGATAGCAAAAGAGTGAAAAAACAAATGGAAGAGATCATAGAAAAAATCTCTCAAGTACACAGATAAATGGTGATCAAAATGAAAGACATTAAAGCAGACACAGATTTTTAAAAAGGACAGGACTTTGGAAACTGTGAATGCCCAATGTAGGACGAAACGGAATCCTTGAAACATAATCAAATAGCAATTCAGATTAAAATCACCGCTGAAAGTATACGCAACAGATCAAAAATCTCTAAGGATGGAATATCAGATCTAGAGTACAGGATTGGGGCTAGTGACTATGAAAAGAAAGATTCCTTAAAAATTTTAAGAGATCATAAAAAATCCAATATTTGCTAGAGGAAGCAAAGAAGACCATCATAAGTTTGAATGGAATCAATGAAAAAGCTGGAGATGACACAAAGGCCATAAAAGTTTTCTTCACAGAATTAATGGAAGAAAACTTCCCAAACAGGATAAAGAATTTGACATGTACATAAAATGGAGTTTATAGAACTCCACACATCCAGGACGAAAGGTATGTCTATAAACCTATCTTCCTCAGGATAGTATGTATAAGCATCCATGTGTTTTGAGTAGATGACTACAGTGGCAAAGTAGGCATAGTAATTAGGACAAGTAAGATATTTTCACTGAAAAATCATCTCTAAATTTAGCTAATCTGGAGTTCTAATATCTTAACTCTGGACATATGTAAAAACACTAATAAGATTATCTACTGAGTTAAACAGACATATTTTCTTGTTCGCTATTAAGGCTTTCAAAAAACCTGCTATATTAGAATACAATTAGGGTTCAAATTTTAACATAGAGACATATGCTTATGTTTATACATATGAATACAGAAAGATATACACATATGTGTATATACACCCATATACATGGATATATAAAACTACTCACCTAAAACAGTAATCCAAGTAAGACCTTAGTACTAGTTTTAAAACCAAACTATTAAACACAGGAAAGAAATACAAGAGAATTATCAGTTCAGTGCCTGTACTTGTTATAGTTATGAGTGTTGGGTACCTGAGAGTGAATGTATTTGCTGAAATCATCCTTGATACCTGCACATAATGGCAGATTATCATTTTTTCCTAGGTGACATGAACAACAATCTTTACACCTCTTCTGCTCTAAACTTTCTTTAGTATAATTGTAATATGAATAACTCATATTTATGGATTGTGTTGAACAGGAAAGCTTTTAACCAGGCAATTATAAAGCTAAAAATATAAAATTTCCCTATTCATCAATATTTCTTATATAATGCAACAGAAGCAACGTCAAGACCCAGGACTCCTTGGATTAAGTCTAATAGGATAGAAACCAGCATAGTTGTCAATGTTGAGTTACATAGTTACTATATTATACATTAAAATTGATTATAAATAAAATGAATAATTGCAAAAAATAGATGAGATAGTCTAACAAATGAACCAGAAGACACATTGTTGGGAAAAAAAACAGATGTGCAATCAGAATGAAATGGTAATAAAAGAGAAACAGTCATCATACAATGTAAAATAGAATATAGGAAGAAAGGCAGTAGCTTTTATGCATTTTTGGTAGGATATCCCAGTGAGAGGATACACTGGTATGTGTGTTACAAATAAAACAGAAATTTGCAAAAGTTTAATGCTGAGTTTTAAGATGAAATGATAAAGTAGGAAGAGTTATGTAGCACCTACATTTATTTTAGACACACATGTTAACTTACTGTATTTGTAAAATTCTATAAACTATTTGTACATGTGTTTAGACCCTCATATTTATACATATAGTAAAACGATAAAAATGAAACAAATAATTAGAAGTTCAAAGTTTAAGAAATGTCTCTGTCTCAGGTGGAAAGATTATACTCTGGCAGTATTAAATATTTCTAGATTCATTTAAACATTTTGCAATGCACAAATGTATTGAAACATCACAAAGCACCGCATTACAATGCACAACTTTTATTTTTTTGTTCATCAGTTAAAATTAATTTACAAATTTACACTTTTTAAATAGTCATGTAAGTTATAGCAAAGTGTTTTGCCAATTTAGTCACAGATGTAGGTACATACATTTCAGTATGGTTAGTAATTTTATTTGTACCTATTAAATAATTCATACTTTCCAATTAAATAAAACCATTCCAAAATTTACATATTAATAAAAGTATATTGAGTAACAAAAGTACAATTTCCTGCAGTCACTTAAATTTTTCTCTAGTTATCAAATAAGCTGACATGAACAATACTATATTGTGACTTTCAAAATGACCTTCATTGATTATTTTCATATAACACTGCCAAAAGTTTATGAAAAATTTTCTCTAGGGAAGTTAACTTCTCAATTCATACTGCCAATGAATGTGCTTTGGCAGAAAATTTGCCAAAAATGACATTTACTTTTCGGGAAATTATGATATCACTTAATAGAATCTTGGAGTATATAGTACTCAGACAACTATCAAATTGGTCTTAGGCCTTGAGAGATCTGAATGTTCATTAGCAGAAGGGTTATATATTAACTGAAACTTAGCTATTCATTTCAAGATGCTGAATTAAGTATAGAGAGAATGATGAAACATTCTTATTAAAGGTGGCACAATGTTCAAGGTAATATGAATGCTACAAGCCTATAGCTACCTAAATCATTTTGCCAAATAACTGGACTTAAAAATGGTTTACAATTTTGTGAGATACCAATTTCTCTTTTGGAGTTCAGACACCTTTTCAAGAATTAGATCCTTCAATACAAGTATATCTTAAATTTTAGGAAACTCTTAGAAAAGAAAGTTAGTTAAATTCATTCTTATATCTTTCCAAGTGAAAGGAAACAGCTAAACAGTAATTTAAAATATGTTGCAAAATATTTCAGCATAAGAATCAGGACATTAATAATCCTACTAAATTTTAGAAATAAGGTGTTTGCTTTTTATTATAATGTTAACTTTGGCAAGGTTTGGGAGGCCCGATTTTTCTGTTTTCACATATATAACATACCAAATTGCTAAGCAGTCTATTTGAGATGAAAAAAAAGTAATATTCATAATCTCAAGAAGAAATACTTAATTACTACATTTTTACTGCTTTCTTAATACGTTACTTGTATTTGGAACATCAGTTACCTCAATTGGCAAATATGTAATTGTGACTTTTGGTTTGTTTTTCCCTCGCTTTTAGAAAGAATATATTTTTCAAAAGTAGCCATAGTCTTTGTTTGTTTTTATAATCAATCCATATTATATCAAAATAATACATTTCAATAAATACTGGTGGAATAAGTGATTTAATGAATGAATGAAACAAGACACAGCTAGCTCCTATAATTAATGTTATTTTGTTATGCAAATATATTACAAGAAACGAGACACAATATGACAAATAGTTGAAAGGTAAAGAAAATAGACTTTAAATTCTGGGAGAGTGGGGTTATGAGTGTGAATAATTCTTAGTAATTTCATGGCATTGGAATCCATAGAAAGCTTATGCACAGAGCTTTAAAATAAAATTAAAACAGAACCACCAATTGATATTGGAACTTGAACGTTGAAAATAATATCAACTGTTTTGCTAGATCTAAAATTTCCCAGAAAGTCTCATGTGTTCAAACTTTGTGTTTTGAAAGGTGCCTGGATCATCAGGGCACTACACCCATCAAGGGATTCACCAACTGTGAATTTAGCAGTTGAGTGTGCTCTTTAGAGTCTGGCTAGAGGCAGGTACCTGGGCCTTGACCTGGAGGCAACTAGGACTGTCTGGTCCCTATTCACTGTGTGAATTCTGACCACCGTAACATGTGCTGATTTCCTCCCATCAGGCCTTTCCATCATGCCATTTCTCTCTTGCAGACAGTGAAATATTAGCCTCAATAAATCTTTTGTCCTTAAGGTTCTGGGTATTGAATATTTTGTCCCTGCAAGAAAGAAAGTCACCAAAATAGATTTTTATACACAAAGCGGGATCATTTCTGTAAATGTATCTGACTTACTGGCTTCCACTTGCTTGGAAGACATTCTTGGGAGTAGTTTGAAAATCTGGCAGAAAAATCTAGAATACTGTTTGCCAAGGTAGGTGTGAAATTCTGATCAGAGCTTGAAGAACAGAATACTGATAGAAATGCATACAGTAAAGCTAGTCTCCGGAAGTTCCAGTTAGAAATACGAACTCCACTGGCTGTTGGACTCCTGGTCATGGGTGTCATACTCTGGCAAAAAATCAAATGGAATCTTTATCTAAAGCATGAGACTGTGCAGAAGGTTAAGATTAAGTATGATGGATTTATGAGGCTGAGGAAAGTTCAAGGCGGCCCAATAGTTCATCTATAGTTAGGGATGCTTGCTGTTTCTAGCAAGATCTATTATGAAAATGAGAAAAAAAATGACAGTTAAATTATTTTTAAAATTTGCAGTTTCATCAGAAATATAGCATGGGAAAGTTGGCAGAAAGGAGAGCACAGATGTTTAAAAGAGCCAAATTCTTTGCATCAGGAAAATAGGGAAATTATCTGAGGAACATTTCATAAATTAAGCATACTTTACCCATCAGAAGACTAAAAGTCCAAAAATGAAAGAGTTTGATTTGGAACTAGAGCCCTGGAGAGCCAAGTTCATTCAGTGCTATCCAGGAAAGCATTTCCTGTAGTTTAGGCATCAGATGTCTTTGTAACCATGATCCAAGAGAAACTGGAAACTGGTAGATCTGACCACAGACCTCCGCATTTTCCACATAGTGCTGGTTTTATGGGAAAGAAGAAGGTAAGAGCTGTGTGTCTTCTACTCAGATTTCACAAGATGGTAGGTCAAGCAGGGTGGCCCTGAAAGTAATGCTTTAAGCTGTAAAGAAGAAGCCAAAAGTGTAATGGAGGCTTGAGGAAGCTGAAGATGCCGAGTCTGAGGAACACCTAGTCAGAAAAGCTGCAGGTAGTTAGCAGAACCACCCCAATAAAGGCCAGGGGGGCTTCAATAGGCAAATTCACATGGACCGGGTTTCACAAAAACTTGGGTTCTCATATGTTTCACAACTTTCCCTGAGTGCTGGACACAGTGCTCTAGAATTTAATGCTCACTATGCTGGGCTCCATTCTCACTTTGATCCAGTCTACATAACTCTCTGTATCTTATTTCAGTCTTTTGGAATAGAAGGTTTATGATGTGCCATTATATGTTGGTAGTATTTTAAATATTTTTAACAGTGGCTCATGGCTAAGAGTATGCCTTCAGTCTCAAAGGAAATTTTAGACTAGGACTTTTCCTAAAAGTAGTTCTTGAACTTTTAAAACCCTGGTGAGTCTTGGTGATTGGGTAAGTACATTTTACACAAAGAGATGATATATCTTTTCAGGACCAGAACAGAATTGTAAGATTTACTTAAAACATCCCCCCTAAATCTCAGGTGGGGTAGTGAAGGTGAGTAGACCGTGGAGTGAGTATGTTCATCACTGAATTCACCCTCTAATGAGTTTAGCTACTGCATGTGCTGTTAGAAGTGTAACCTGGCTAGGAGCAGGATTATGAGGGCATAAACTGAAAAGTACCACCATTCTCTGGCTTTTCTTTGCATACTCTCCCTTTTGGTTACCTTGACATGAGAAGCCTTTTCTTCCCCGGTCCTTCCCCAGCAGGCCTTTGTCTCAGAGCCAGTCAGCATGAACCAAAAGAGTACGTATTCTGCTCTTCAAATTGCAAATGTCAGGTGTTTCACCCCTGTGAACAGAAAAGACACTAAAACACCAAAAATGTTTTCAAGGAGCAAAATCAAGATAACACTTTGCTTAATAATAATAAATAGCAAGAACTACAATAGTAGTTGTATAACTAATAATACTAGTTCTATAATATTGGTTGTTGGAGTGTTTTAGCCTATGCTTAATATGCATTTCAGTTTATTGATAACATCACCTAGTTCTTCTATATGGAAAACTGTCTCATCTGATTCTTTGCTTTTGAGTCACCGAAACTATCTCAGAACTCCATTTTATTGTTTACAAACTATTTATATTCAAAACACTGAAATTAGAGTCAATAGGACTGAAAGCTATAATTGATGAAATATGATATTGCACTCTAAAATTCAATTACAGAAACCCTAAACCCAGAGCACCTCTGAGGGGTGCTCACTCACTCTTTTTGTGTTGCCACATTGTTCAAGAATACAGAGCACACATGAAGGAAGCCAGAAATGGGAGTTAATTTGGCAAAACCTGCAGTCCTTGACTGCAGAAAAGGCTTTTTATGGATTTAAAAATGAAACCAAACTGCTCCCTAAGTCTCAAAAAAAAAAAAAATAAAAGAAAGCAGAGGCAGGTTTCCCTGAGAAGTCCACCTTGACCCCTCCTCAGCTGCCAGAGTCCCTGCCAGCACCTACAGCATCACTCCCCCCTCCCAACTCACCTCCTTCCAGCCCTGCACCAGTTCCAGTCAGCCGCTGCCCACACTCAGCCACAGAGGTCCTCTCTCCAGAGCCTTCTGTTTCCTACACTGATCAGATAGCATCATTTAATGCTTACCCACAACAGCTGCAGCAATTCCTTCTGAGTTCTACATTTTGACCAAGAAATATAGGACTGTGAGCCCTGATGAATGAGTTACCATGATATTTCCCAAAGGTCACTTTTCCTTAGAAATAGCCCAATCAAGAACATCTCAGACATCAAAAAGGGACACAAAAGCTAATCACCTGCCATCACCCAGAAACCTGATTAAAGCATATGATGTCCATAAGAAAATTCAGCCTGATAGACAGTCACACCCTCTGGCTTCAGGCTATTGACACCAGAAAAATGTTCGTTCCATATGCAAGACATAAAGAAATCTGACTCTCCAGCCCCCCTCAGCCTGAACCTCTTCTCTCCATGCTGGGGCTGGATAAAGAGGACAAACTGAGCTCTATCAAATTGGGCCCCTGAGAACCTGCAGTCACTGTAGAAGTTGGGGCAAACCTGTGGCTCCTGATAGACAATGGAACAGAACCCTCTTACCCTCCGAAGTTCCCTCTGTCAAAAGTTACCATTTGGGGCAGCTGGGACACTTATCTCTCACTCTTTCTGTGAGGCACTAACTTACAGCCTGGAAGGACACCTCACCAACATCAGTTCCTGTCTGAGAAGAGGCTTGCTCTTCAAATTAGAAGGGACCATCACTTTTACACCTAGTCAGTCAGCCTCCCTGTCACTTGATCCCTGAGAGGAACACAACGCCTGCATGAGAAAATAACTGCTGTACTGTAGTACAGCAATAGTACAATAGTACAATAGTACAGCCATCACTTTGCACTCTGTGCTTCCCAACCCATACACTTTACTTGCACTGCCCTAGTTTATTGGACTCAATTGTCCTATGGAATTAAGGACTCTCCCATTACTTGGGGGGCTGGGGAGCCTGAGGACAGATTTGGGCAAGCCACCAACACCTTTCCTCTGAGACAGCCTATTTCTCTGTTTCCTTCAGCTCTGTTATGGTCTCCTGAGCAAACACTGTAGACTGTCATACTGCTAAAATAGGCCTCTCCTGTGTGTAAGGCCCGGTCGGAATCTCTGAGCTAACAATGCTACAGCAGTTGGCCTCCATATGCACTGCCTCAGTCTTCTGCCACCCGCTGTCTGCTGGCATTGCTGTCAGGACCTAAAGAATATCTCCTGCCTTTGATTTGCACCTGTCAGCCAGTTCATGTTTGTTTTAAAATGGAAAGACCCACCCAGGCATCAAAAAATTATGTGTCCTCTTTTTCAGAAGCCCTCACAGATGACCTTGTTGATTTCCCATCACAACGTATTGCAGCACTTCTGACTGATGACTTCCAAGCTGCCTGCTGGAAAGACTGAAAAGCTCTGCACAATGTCTTGCACAAACTGACTACAAGAAAAAAATCCACAAATTTCTAAGAGCTTCTGCATCCTACAAAATCTGGACCCTTGAGTTCACTTAAACAATGATGCTTACTCAGGGCTGCCTACTCCTTTTTTATCTTCATGCTCTAATAGCTGCTGTCCTTGTGATTAAGAAACCTGACAAGCTCATCTTAGTCCATGCCCTCACTGTCCAGGTCCCTCATGCTGTACTGGACATCCCAGTCCTGACATGTGTCTGCCCACCACGCTTGGCCCACCAGATTGTGCCTAAAATCTGACTCCCCCTGATGGATGCTGAGTAGACCCTGCTTATGAATGCAAGTGGCTCTGTCACGACAAGTTAGAGATGCTGTAGTCACCTTGGATGAAGTTATTTTGGCCAAAACTCTCCTACTACTGCTTCCTGCTGCTGTTTGGAAACCTGCTACCAAAATATTACATGAAACTCCATTAGAATGTACAATCTTATGTCTTATTGTATCATCTAAAATAAATTTCACAAAGTGAATGAAACATAATGAAGAAATGTTCAGATAAAACAGAAAATAAAATGAAGTAAGAGTTTAAACTGTTTACTTCGTTATGCACAGCTGTGCCTCTGCTTTGTACATAAGACACACAGATGCTTTGCTTTTCCTCTTCTCACAGACATTTTCACGTCTTGAAAACATGGTTCTGTTTGCATGCCCGCCTCCCAATTCTTCTTAACTTTTTGGACCACGGAAATCTAATTGAAATATTCTCATCCCTCATTTCAGTGTTTTATTTTTGCATACTCTGTACTAAATTGTCTGACTGCAAATCCACTGTTTGCTGGGGCCTCTGTCATATCCTCTTATTCTTGCTGATAAGTATTCAATTAATGCATAGGAATGAATAATATTGAACTGTTCTTATTGGTATTTTTAGTTATCAAAATCATTTAAATACATTAAAATACATATCAAAACCTTCATTCTTTGAAAACTAGTTTTATAACACCTTTGTTGTGTTTTTCATGTGCTTTTAGCTTTATGAGCAAATTCATAAGCAATAATGTTTGTGTTACAGTGTCTGTAGTGGTGGGAAAACTGACAACAAATCGTGAGAGACTCCTTCCATCACACACTTGCATTTCATAATGAGCAACTGAAACGGTTAATATTTGGAACTGTAATTACAGGATTATTAGCCAGATGTAAAGTAAACTTTGATTAAAAGAAGCTTGGACTATGTATTCCTCTAATGATTCTCCCACCTATAATATACAGGGGCTACAACTGTGTCAGTTCTTGCCAACATATTACAGGGACATAATTACATTGGCTTGTAGCTGTTATAGTGCATGTGAATGGATCTGTTTGGGAGTCTAATTTGCAGTTCCTTTATGCTTAATAATATTGAGCATATTTTTATGTCTGTATTTCCTTTATGACTGATAATACTGAGCATATTTTATGCACAATTTCTGTACATGGTCCTAATTAGGCTGGTTTATATGAGTTTTTTTTTTTTCTGTAGTTTTGAAGGAGTATGTTATATTTGAAGAAAAAATTCTTCAATGGTTATAAAACTTGCAAATATTTTTAATCTATTATTTTCATAGTTTATTAGGTATGTATTTTAAACAAATACATTTTATATGGATGATTTGAATTTATTTTTAAAATGATTATTGCTTACTAGATACCACAAAATTAAAATCATGTTTTTTATTATAAAATATTTGTATTACTTTTACATTTATTTATATTTTAAATTATTTGCAATGTGCAGAATTAGAAAGGTATCCTTTCATTTTTCTGGTAAAAATGTTTGTTAATTTCAGTTATTTAAAAGATTACCTTAAGTAACTTAAATTGGGAAGATGGCATCAATTAAATAATACATAAAAATGCAAAGAAACATTTTGATATAGAACTAATTTTGCACTATTTTAAAACTTTCTATTGATATATTAGTTTTATACCAGTACCAACATTCTACTGATCATATTACCTTTACAGAAAAACTAGATAACAGTTTTTAAAAATGTCTTTCAATTTTGTCTATCTTTTGCATCTTTGACACTGATATTATAATAAATATTTAGAAACCATCTGGGTAGTTTATTAAAATTTCATATATTTTTAATGAAACTGAATTAATTCATGTCTATTTAAAATAAAGTGCTGCACATGATACTTTTGAATACAGAAAATTTCCATATTAAAAATTAGATACACATTGTATTGTATACTAGTGCCTTTATCCATAGGAATATATTGCAATGTCCCTTATGTATGTGTGAAACTATGGAAAATCCTAGAACCTGTATACAGTGTTGTATTCTGTGTGCAGATCTGTAGCAAAGTTTAAGCTATAAGCACATTGAGAAATTAACATTTTCTCACTTACTATGGATTTTAGCAATCTCAATGTAAGGTTACTTTGCTTTCTCTAAGGAAAGAACTTATTGAGTCAAAAACTTTCACCTTTTTCCTTAAAGAAAACACTATGTCTTCTTTCAGGCATACCCAAATTGCCAACATAACTAATACTGTGTTTTGCACTTTTGCTGAGTTAACATAAAAGTCACTGGACTGCAAGAATGCAGTGCCATGATAATCTGAAAACCAAGATTTCTACTGTTACTGATTTAGCATGTACAATGTGGAAATGATTGAGAAAGCAACAGTTAATGTTCGAAGCAGGACAGAGAGGAATGGAAATAGATTTCATTGTAGTACTGTAAAGGGTGTAAAATTTAACCCTAACAAATGATTTATTTTTGTATAATTCCACAAATTACAGACACAAAGCCTGTAGCTAACTGAAAGTGTGGAAAGCAAAACCACAAATAAGAGGTGCTACAGTTTTTATCTTCAGTGCTTAAGTGTTGAAGGCTTGGTCTCAAGTTTGAGACCATACTTATAAGCGAAATGAATCAACCTGTCATGTATAAATACCATACAGTCTTCTTAGTGTAAGAAATTATAAGAATATATCAAAGTGTATGGTAATCATTATTCCCCATTATATTGCTTTGAAGCCTTATAATGTTTTCATTCATGATGGAATGGTTTTATTCTGGTTGTTTCATTTTGTCTGTGATGGTATGAACAGCTATTTTGATGAAAAGACATTATCATAGCTAGTGCTGATTTAATATCATTCTACCATGCTTTTGTTCTTCTGTCTCCATTGGTTTTATCACGTTATATTTCATTGGATTTTGTTAGGTGTGATAGTATAAACAAAAATTTTATGGAAAAGGAAATAATATAGTAATCCTTGTTTGTTTTCTGTTAGTTGGTTCTGAATACCCTGTAATACTTTCAGTCTCTTGAATGATTTTATACTATTTTGTTAGGTTTGATACTGTAGTGTATGAAAGTATATTCAAATATTTCAATAAAAGAAACACTATGGTAGCTACTGTTATGTCGAGTTGTCTTGCGGTGAAACTGTGTTGATTAAATTGTTCTGTTCTGACCTGTTTTGCTATGTTCTTTTTTGTCTTAATCTTTTTAAAATTAAAAAAAAGTGTGTTGAAGACTTGGTAGAAGAGAGTGAAATCTCTGATAGGTGGAACTTGGTTGGAGGTACTTAGGTCATTAGAACCAAAACTCTGCAGAGGATCATGAAATTCAGTGTATTCCCTTCCCTCTACTCTTTCCTAGCCATGAGGTTAGAAGTTTTGCTTCACTGCACATACTGTGTCACTGCAAGTCAACAGTCCCAGAGACTGGAATCTCTCAAATTTAACCAGCACAAAGCTTTTCTTTTGTAATTATGTTTTTTTTTTTAATAATGGAAGGTTTAGTCACACAAAGAGAACTACTGCACATTCTAAAGGACTTGTAGTACTTTTATTATTAAACTCAATACAAACTGCATTTCGGTTATTCTAAGTGATACTTAAATTAACTATAATTTTCCAATTTATTTTCTAAACATTTGAAGATAATTTTGATGAAGTATATTGATCTTATACTTGGAAATTGCTGAATTCACTTATTAATTTCATTACTGTAGGCAATATTATTCAGAAATTTCTGCATAAAAGTTAAATAAGTAGGAAATTGATGTGTAATGACTAAAATCTTGGTGTTTTCTTTCTGCCTTATTGTATAAGCAAAGTAATACTGATAATGAGTGTAATTGCAAACAGCAAACACAAAAGCAATCATTTAATCATTCTTCATTAAAATTCTATTAGTATTGAATTAGTTTTTAACTCTAGAAACCTACAAAAATTGGACTGTGAGTTTAGAGTATAAGTTGAGAATGGTGAAAAGTGGTACTATCAAATAAAATATACTGTGGCACCAGATTTGACATAGTGGTTATCTTAAAGTTAACTTTGAAGATTATATAAACTGTGTGCAACTCTTGCCAAGAAATGCATTTTTGTTACATACTATTGTGCAAATGTCTGAAAATTCTTTCTGTGAGCTTATAACACAAACTTTTAGCAAATGCATCTTTTCCTTTCTTATCAACAAGTTTTTCATGCAGGAAAAGATGGAGTTTGTTTTTTGGTTTATATTTAGCTTAGTTATTCTTGCTGATATATTTTTTATTATGGTTGATTAATATTTATGTATTTGCTGTTTTGCTGTCTAACTTGAAACATCAAGTGCATTCATTTTAAGATAAATAACTGTAAAATACATTCAGATATGAAATGTAACTAAGTTAATGCACGTGTCTAATATATAAAGGATATTGGAGCATATAATTTATTTATTAAAAGAATTAATTTTATTTTTTAAAATTTTATTTAAGGAGAAAAAAGACAAAAAACAGAAAAGAGGTACCAGTTATACAGAATTTCAGAAAAAATAAACAGTATAAAATCACTAATTAATTACATATTGTCATCTTAGAAATAGTTGTTGAAGTTACAAAATTAAAGCATATAGAGGGGACTTTCAAACAGTGAGACTGTATACAGTTTTGTTCAATGATCCAACAAAACTCAGTAATATGGTTATCTATCTTATACACTTAAATATATATGCAGTTATGTCTTTTAGAGAATTTTCTTTTCCTTTCTTTGTACAATGACAATTACACATTTTGGGTTTTATTACTCCCATAGTTCTTATTAATTTTTTTTGAAGGAAGTAAAACCAAATGTGACATACCAGGACAGAGTCTGTCAAATCAAAAGGATGGGCATAATACATAATATAAAAACAACATACAAGGTATCAACAATGGTTACCATAATGCCTCTTGTTATCTTAAAAAGAATTGCCTATATCATCAGTCATAATAAAACTGAACAAAACAGTAAAGAATAAGACCAATAAAACCAAAACATTGGAGACATTAGAGGACTTCCAAAGAAGATAATAATCAACCAGAATGGGCATCACAATGAATCTTATTGTCTTCATAGTTGTTGCCTATACTTTCAAACTTGGTACTATCAAGCATAACAGAATAGAGGAAAATCAGTCAAAACAAGATGGTGAGAGCAATACAGGGTTTCAAATCAAGTTAATAGGAAATCAAAGTGGGTTACTATAATATGTCCTATTTTTTATTTTTCCCTTAATTAAAAGGATAAAAATGAAAAAGTAGATAATAAAAAAGAGATTGAGATATAAAAGAGGGCATAGCAACAAAACATCACAGGTCAAAACATAGCCATTTAAGCAAAATAGTGTTTCACCACAAGATAATCTCGACATAATAGTAGCTACCATAGTGTCTCTTCCCTTAAAATCTTTGGGTATAACTTCGTATATTGTAGCATCAAACATATCAAGACAATATAAAACTGTTCAAGAGAATGACAGTATTACAGGGTATTCAGAATCAACTAACAGAAAATGGACAATGGTTTCTGTATAATCTCCTTGTCTATAAAAGTTTTTGTTTATATCATCACATATAATAAAATCCAATAAGATACAACATGTTAAAACCGATGGAGACAGAAGAACAAAAGCTTGATGGGACTTCAAAACAAGAGGATATTAAATCAGCACTACCTATTGTGATGTCTTGTTTTCTCCAAAATTGCTGTTCCTTCTCTGCCTCATTTCTGTTGAGCTCTTTTTCTGTCATTGTTGTCGGTTTGTCCTATTCATTTCACTTTCTGCTCCATTCATTGCTAATTTTCACATTTTGCTAGAGAATTCACTTCTTTAATAACTACATGTTAAGTGATTTATTGCACAAAACAGATAATTTTTACAGCGACTGAAATTCAATAAATTTCATTTGTTCACTTGTTTTTTATGAAAAATAACATAACATTTCGATTATTTAGATACTTATAAACTGTGGAAACCCTGTAATATAACCTTAAGTTATCAACAAATAGCTGGATAAAATATTCTTATACTGTGTTACTTCCAGCCTAAAGGAGCATGATATTTTATATAGAGGATTAAAGACTAATCCTAGGATATGCAATTCAGGTAATAATGACATATCTTACAATGAACTAACACTATGGGAGAATTACAAATGCCAAAATTGTATGTTCACACAGAGACATATATCTCCACATGCCCACACAAAAATTTTTAATGTCACTGTAGAAACCAAAAAGCAGGGAAAATTTGGAGATGGTTTAACCATTTAAAAAGTCAAATACATACTTGTATGCTTTACTCCTGAGGTTGTTGAATTTCAAGATATATATATATATATATATATATATATATATATAAGCTAGAGATACTGTAAGATGTTGCTCAAGTCTACCAGCCCAGCTGGAAGCTGATGAGTGAGATCGTTGTGAGGGGAATTCTGAAACAGGAATTCCTGTAAACTTTTGATGACACCAAGCACTCAGTGCTCAGATTAAAAAAATCAGAAATAATAAAATGATGCTCTGTTTGAAGAATCCTTTTAATAGTCAAAACAATAAACATTATAAAAATTGTCAGATGAAAGACAGTAAAGTTATCTGAGTATTGGGCTGCCATTTGCCAATGGGTCTAAAATGAATGATCATCAGCAGTTTATCAGTGACAGGGAAATGAACACTACAGAGTTCTGTCAGGTAATTGTAAGTATCTTCAGTGCATTAACCTGGTGAGAGGAAAAAGAATATCCACTGTTCAATCAAATATAAACTCCACTCACACGTGATCACATGGTGTGATCAAACTTTCGGGTTTGCTTGTTTATGAAAATAATTTATAAAATTTAGAAAAAGATTTTATAAATTTGAGCATATTAAATATCCTAACCCAAACTTAGTATAAAGAATAAGGCCTTTCCTGTGAATATACTAGTTCTTATTTTACTAAGATTCATGAATATGTACATATATGTGTTATCAAAATGCTCTACAAGACAAAAATATTTAGATTACTCCTACTATTAGAAAAATAAAAATGAAACATTTTCTTTAAATAATTAAGTTTACAAAATGTTAAATAATACAACACACATCAGGTACAAAATGTATCAAAAAGAATTATACAATGTTAAAGTCTCTTAACCTTGAATAGCTAAATGTATGAATTTTAAAGAGGCTTTGTATTGTTTATGCCTAAATTATTTTCTTACTACACCATCAACTACATTAGAAAACTAGTGCTAACAACTATTTAACATTTTATATTCATAGAAAAGTATGCATGACAATAGATTTGTATCTTTTTTTTTTTTTCTTGAGACAAGATCTTGCTATGCAGTTCAGGCTGCCCTTGAACTCCCAGAGATATACCCACAAAAAATACTGAGACTCAAATTTTTTCCAGTCTCTTTGCTTGCTTATTTCTACAGTATCAAACCTCTTATTTCTACAATATCAAAGCAAATGATCATAGCAATTGGACTGTAAACTGAAATATTGATTCCAAATAAGTATTCCTTTTGTTGTTGGTTTTCTTAAGAATTTTGTCACAGTGACAATATGGGAACACAATGATACATCACAAAATTCCTCCAAACAAAGAAATTATGTAATGATTTCAGTTGATGCAGTAAGGTATTTGACAAAATTGAACATTCATTAATAATTAAATCTCTAAAGACAATAGTTATTGAAGTAGTTTGCATGATCAGAATAAAGATTATGCATTAAAGGCTTACAGTCAATATGATCAATAGGGAAAATCTAAGAACTTTTCTTAAAGATCTTATATAAGGAAAGAAAGACCACTTCCCTGAACATCTTTACCAAGACAATTATTTTCTTGAGGGCAAAGATTGTTTGAAACAGGGTCTTGCTATTTAGTGCAGGCTGGTCTTGAACTCATGGTGATCCTTCTGCTTCAGCCCCTTGCATGCTGGGATTCCAGATATTTATCACCATGCCTGGCTGCCAGGACAGTTAGACAGTAAAAGGTGACAAAAAGTAACCTATATTAAAATCAAAGATGATGAGTTGTTGTTACAGATAAAATGATTATATAAGCAGTGAACACCAAAGACCCAATAAAAAAGTTATTTTTGATAAATTCCTGAAAACTCCAGAATACAAAATCATGAAATAACTAGAGACTGAAGAGTAACTAGATTATGTATTATGTTCCTAGCATGGCAATGCCCAAGAATTGTGAATTCAATACCCAGCATCACCAAACAGAGAACCAAAAATAATAATAATAATCAGTAGTCATTCTACACGCAAATAATTAACCAATAAGAAAAGAGGTAAGAGGCCAGGCACGGCCACACAACCTTACTCCCAGCACTCTGAGAGACGGGACAGGAGATGTGCAACTTGGAGCCCCACGAGGCTCACTTAGTGCTTAGCAACTTTCTTCTCAAGAAAAGGTATTTTAAAAGGCCTGGGGATGGAGTTCAGTGGAGAACTCTGGCTTCAATACTCAGAATGACAGAAAGTTTAAAAGAAGTGATTGAGAAAAAAATCATATTTGGCAACAAAAAGAATAAAATGCCTAGGAATGAATTAAAAAAATAAAAGAATCACTAAAATTGTAAAACAATAGTGAAGGAAATTAAAGGCAAAAAATAAAGTACTCCTAATATTCACAGGTTTGAAGATTTGTAATTGTGAATAAGTCCAGAGTATGGAAAATAACCTGCAGGTTTAATGGAAGTACTAGGTGCATTCTTTACATAATTAGAAAAACATATTAAAATTGATATAAAATCACTAAAAACCTAAAGTGGCAAAAGCAACCTTTGAAAAAAGAACAAATTTGTAAGTGTCAAAAGTTTTATAGTTTAAAAATACAGTAGTCAAAATGCAAAAAATAGAAAACAAAGCTCGGGATAAATATAGAACATTAGAATAGTAGAGAAGTCAGAAATACACACACACACACACACACATATATGCATATAGATAGATAGATAGATACTGAAAATGTGTGATAGATGACTAAAAATATTTGTATCTTTTTACTCTAATTTTGATCAGAAAAATTAAGATTCATATTTTCTTATTTTAAGTTTGCATTTGCCTTTACATAGGCAATAATTGGGACATTAACTTTTTAGTTAAGTTTTGGTTAAAGTATGTTATCAACAATAGTCTTTCTAAAACATGCATAGTTTCACAAAATCTTAATACAATTCTTGTTTATATAAATATAATCTCATCAAAAGCAAGATTGTTTATCCATTTATTTTTTTAGAATTTTGAGGAATTTTTGCATTGAATATGAGGGACTTAAAACACAGTCTGAGCGAGAGAAAGGGATCTCCCAAGTGTTGAAAGAGAAGGGTACATTCTGTTTCATGTAGTCTACATTGCAGATCTCAAAAAAGCACAGGCGGTTTTATGGCATTAACCATTATTTTAGCAACACACAAAAAATTATGTTTTGTGAAATGAGCTGGACATTAAAGAATCCTCACCTTATTTTTCTACTTTTTTCAAGTCCAAGAGCTAGAAAAAGTGATCTTGGCTAGCAGAAATAAGTATGGTTTTCTGTTAGGATTTGAAGGAGGAGAAATAGCTATCTGACATGAAGGAAATAATTTTTTTTTTGTCTTTTTCATTTTTATCGGTACCGGGGATCGAACTCACGACTGCCTGCTAGCAAGGCAGGTGCTGATGCCGCTGAGCTAAATTCCCAGCCCATGAAGGAAATAATTTATATCTTATTTTGTATGGTGAATATGCAGATTATATAATAGTAATATCTCATAAAAATATTCATGCATGATCTTCAAATTTGTAGTGCATATGCATCATGCATCCATTTTAAATCATTTTCATTTTTAAAAGTTGATTCTCATTTCTAAAATGTTTCTATTATTAGGTTTATATCTGAGTTTGCATTTCTTAAAAGAAACAACCATATGCCTTTTTAAGGAAACAAAGAATACAAAGATTAGCATTGTATTTTCTTTTTTCCACACTTGATTTGACAGTCTACATTTATCAAGTATGCAGTAAATATCTGCAGTATTTAATATAAAGATAGACACTTCATATTCAACATATGCACTAAAATATAAGTTCTTCTGCAAAATATGTGAACATTTTCATGAATTTATTCGTTCACTAATTTTCATTTTATTTTCTTTATTTTTTGCATATCTATTAATTAAAAATCTGTTAGGTTCCAGTTACATGGTAATATACATAAAATTATCTAGGTTGCCCTGAAAAAATTATTCCTAGAACAATCTGAATACAATGAAGATTTTATGAACTGTTTAATTAAAATAGCATAAATTACTTATGTTAATATAAGTTACAATTTATAGGGTATGTAGATATATCTCAAATTGTGCTTGAATGTATGTGAAAAATTACAAATTACAAATAAGCAAATTACATTAAAATTACATAAATAGGTACAATTTGATGTATTTATGTCTGCTTGATTAAATGTGGAATATAAAATTATTTCTCAGCAATTTGTATTTCTGAAATTTTAATAAATAGCTTGCTACTTTAGAAGCAATATATGCCTACATACAGTATATATTACATTTGAAGATCAAATTTCACTCAGATTTGTTATTTAGTTTAGAAAGATGAGCCAACAATATTAAATAGCTGATGAAATATACCATATATTTGAATTCTATTAATACAGGATCTTGGGATGGAGATTTAGCTTAGCAGCTAAGCGTGTGCTTGGCAAGCCAGATGTCATGAATTTGATCCCTGGTACAAAAAAAAAAAAAAGGATCTTATGGCCAAAGCAAGTTTATATTAATAATTTTTATTAAACACCTGTACCTCAGGTACTACAATAAATTCTAAGTAGTGTATTTCTTGAAGATGATACTGAAATTAATAAACATCAAAAATAATAGCTCATTTAATCCTTCTGCTAAACAGAGAAAGTGATAGGCAAACTATATATATTATAGAAGATAGAATGCTATTTTCTGAAATTATTTAATATCTGTAGTAACTTAGAAAAAGTGATGGGGAACCTATATATTTTATAGATGAAAGAATATCAGTTATCTAAGCTGAGATAATAGAACACAAATTTAAATATATGTTAACAGCAAGAAATATTCTTGTTATCTGATTTATGCTTTTAAATTATAATAGTAACTCACAATAGTATTGCAAAAATTTGGACTTCAGAAAATAGTTGAAATTCTATTTCCACAGCTGTACATAAGCCTCCAACACAAAGTGAAAAAAAAAATAAATAAAACAACCCAAAAAGTCCATTTGAAGTGAGTCAGTTTAAAATAAGCAACTGACCCAACAGACATACATAACTTATACTTACAGTGCTGTTTAGATTAAATGTTCCTTGTGATTTAATTCCTGTTTGGGGAATATCAAATGCATTAATGAAGATTAGTTCATGCAGATTACAAAGAATCACTTTTCCCCCATAAAAATAATCAGTGAATTCCGAGTAGACTTCAGCTTTGTAAAAGACAGCCACACATTCTTGTTGAGCATTCATTCTTGCACTGTGAGGAGAAAGGAGAGCAGGTCATGACTAAATTTCATGCTCCTGTGACCCGCAAAATAATTCACACAGTTATCAGGGCATTCATTCAATTTCCTTATTACCTGCCATCTGTAATACACAGATATGCTAGATTAAAGATCAACCTTCTAATTTTAAGCCCAAATAAACTCCACATATTTAATGGCAAAATATTTGTCATTATGTATATTCTGAAGTATCACTCGATCTATGTACAGTATGTCCGAGAAAACTAAGTTTTTGAAGAAAACGTTCTACAGATTCACAATTTAATTCACAAATTACATTTAAACTACATTAGACTACACTTTCTTATACTTATACTATATTTTATATTCTTATACTTTTCTTATATTTTGTTATACTTTGTGGTCTATCATTGTAATTATTGTGTGTGCTCAAATTAACAGAAAAATGTGTGCACCCACAATGGGCCATAATGAGCAACAGTTACGGAAGGAGTTAAAATTTTGCCAGCACAAACACATTGCATAATAATCTACTTCTCTCTGGCTCTGCCTTAAGACACACAAAGAAAAAAAGTAAAAGGACACTCAATCAATATGTTCTTTATAATTATTCTATTCCAATGGATGAAATACTCAGAAAAAAGGACACGGGATGTGAAGTTACCAGTGAAGGAAAGAATGTAATGAATATTTATCTGAGAGACCAACTTGGAGAGAAGTTGAGAGCATATCTCAGGGAGCTTTCACACTCGTGAATTGAAAAGCAAATGGCAACAAACTGCCAGGATTTGCTTCGAGGAATTAACCTAATAGAAAAATTGAATTAAAGAGAGAGCACTTCAAAACAAGCAGCTGAACTGATGTTGTTACTGCACTTTTGAAATTTAAACTCCTGTGTGGTAAGTATTTAAAAACAGCACTTCTCTAAAATATTTAAATATATCTATGCCTGACTACATATACACAATTCTAATTATATATTCTCATGAGAAAGATTTGATCTTTAACTGTTACTGTAAACCCATGCAATAAAGAGTACCTAGGTACTCAAAGCACAACATGATTTCCATTCAAACTATTCTATATAGTTTAACAAGATATTTACCTTAATTTTTAATGCATCCAGATGCTAAGTTTATCCATAAAACTCAGCTAATTAATGCTGTACTTGGTCCTGAAGCTCTAACCATTGCAACCCTCCTGACCCCCTTCGTCTTAGGGATTGGACTCTACTACTTTTAGAACATGACTCGTTAATTATTTTTACCCCACATAATCCTCCATAAGGCATATTTGTCAATAACTCAAGTGTTTATCCATAAAAATTTTATAACTTCCCAATCAATAGATATAACCGTAGATTCCAACATAGCCAGTTAATGTACAAAGCAGAATAAGATTAGACCAGTGTTGTAACTTAAATGGCAGCATTCACTGTTATACTGGGGTAACCTTTAATGGAATGTGCTTACAGGATCCCAGTAAATCTAACCACAAATGCGTTAGTAGGTTCTGACAATTCCACAGCTTCCCTCAACCTCCAGTTATTCTGTCCTTTCATTGCAGTCCTCTCATGCATCCAAAAATATTCTTTTAAACTCACCAGCACTAACCCTTTATTCTAGCTATAAAGTGCATCCAACAGTGTCTGACTTTGTATCTTATCTATAAACATTCTCTTTTCTCCTTTCTCCTTATTTTCCCCCTCATTTCCCCTTTCTCTGTCCTTCCCTGCTTCCTCATCCCACATTAACTGTCAATAACAGTACAGCATAGTTTAGAATTGGTGCTAATAAAAGGGTGCTAATTGGAGCTAATAATATTAAATGGTTTTAATGTTTATCATTGATGGATGGTTAGATCTGTAGATGGTATAACCTGTAAGAATCTCTACAATAACAGTAGCTGGATATAGCCCAATTCAACTGAATAGAATAAAGTATCAAATAAAAGCCTCTTGACAAATAAAGCTAAGATCACATCACTAGAAAACAGAACTTAACAAAAGAGATCTTCATACCAACAACAAATTTTCACTCTATTTGACTTCAACCATCAGCACATACGCATACCAAAAAAAACAACAACAACAAAAAAACAAATAAAAAAAACAGGAACATGAAAAAATAGGACAGAAAATGATTCCAAAGACTCCCAACTCTCTTTAAAAAAGCCCAATGGGCACTGATAGGGTGGAAGTTAAACATTAGTGGGTGAGCAGCATGAAATGATTAAAATGGACACATGGAAACTCAGCAAGCTCAAATAATAGATATAACCCACAAAATGGTGGCACTAAAAAACACAGTGACCAATGTATTTTGGCAAAAACCAAAAATTAAAAGGCCTGATCAAAGCTATTTCAAACATGATTGAATAATTTACCAAAAAACTTGACTTCATGAAAAGATGCTAAACAGAAATCCTTTAGAGATAATGAATTCTACTGAATATGAGCAATGATGAACTTAAAGAATCAGACTTCAAGGATAGCATGGAACTAAAAGATGTTATACATACAGATATGTTAAAAATAGTATAGCAAGATTAATAAGTGTTTATTAGAGGTTGCTAAGACTAACAAGAAAAAATGGAGTTAGAAACAAATTAGAGGATAGCACATGCAATATAAAGTATCTGTTTAAAGAAATCACAACAGAAAAAAGTAAGGAATGAACTAAACATATAAACTATATGAGGCTTACAGAAAAACAAGTAATGATTTTAAAATGATGTCCATTGCACATCATAATCAAAATCTGAAAAGCCCAAACCAATGGACAGGGTCATAAAAGTTGTCAGAGAAAAGCCAAAGATCACTTGTAATTGTATTAAGTAAAGCTTTTTTTTACAAAAACTTTAATACATTCCAACCAGCTTGAACCACCAATGTACACAAGGTAGTTTTCATGACTGGTAGTAAAAATGGATGTAATCAGTTTTATTGGTCTTTTTAGTAAAAAAATTAATAGTAACTTGATGGGACAGTCATGCATGTGCTGGTGATGATTCAAACCACTCAGCACTGAGACCTATGAATTATGGTCTCAGCACAAACATATTAAAGACTAGTAGAGGGTGGATTGAACTTTATCCAGCACTAGAAGTAAAAGTCTTTCAACCAAAACTAAAATGTACTGCAATGACCTTTTCAAAATGAATATAGGATAAAGGTATCCCATAACTAAAACACATCATAAGAAGTTCATAAACACTAAATCAAAACTCAAAAAATCATGCATAATTTAGTCAGAGAAAATGAAGCCAACAATTCCCCAAATTCTGATGGAATAAATACATTAAGTAGCATATTGGTTCAAGAAAAAGGAAAAATTAAAGATGTCAACAGAAATAAGGTCATGTTGGAATGTATCAACATTTTTCAGTAATAACTCAATATAAATGTTCAACTCATAAGAAAAAGAGACAAATTTGTAGGCTGGATTGAAAACAAAGCCTAGTGATTTTCTGGATAGAAGAGGCCCATCAGTTTGAAAAAAAATTCATATACTAAAAATTAAAAAATAGAAAAGAACACTGCATGTACCAGAACCCCAGAAAGAAAGTGGAGTATGATTTTCTCCAAGAAAATGTACTTGAAATTAAATTCATCAGAAAAGGCAAGGAATGCAATTTATATTTGTCAAGGGAACAATCCAATGAGAACAGATAATAATTATAAATATATATGTACCATATATCAGTGAGCCCAAGTACATCAAGCAAACACTAATGAACATAAAAGATTACATATGCACCAGCACAATTGTGATGGGAGACCTAAATACATCACTCTCCTAAACAGAGATATCAAGTAAACAAAAAATCAACAAATATCAAAGTTGCACTATACCACTGAACAAATGAAACTAATAGATACCTTCAAAGAGTTCTACTGAACAACAAAGCAGACATTCTTCTCCGCAGTCTAGGGAACTTTTTCAAAAACAGATGACATTCTAGTCCATTAAACCTACAAAATAAGTGCAAAAGAATAAAATCATGCTACACACAATTAGATCACAGCACAATGAAACTATAAATCAATTATAAAAGAAGCCTCAAAAACCACACAAATACAAGGATATTAAATAATATACTCCCGAACAGTCAATTACAGAAGAAATAAAGGAATAAATCAAACATTGGAGAATCTAGGAGACACAGTGAAAACAGAGTTAAAAGTGAAGTTTATTGTTGTAAACACCTAGATTAGAAAACCAGAGAAAGTTAAAAAAAAATAAAACTATATATTCACAATTCTGTCAAAGAAAAACCAATCCAAACTCAAATTACTGCATGAATGCACTCACAAGGATCAGTGTGAAACTCAATTTTAAGAAAACAATAAAAGAATTAATGAATTAAGGGGCTGATTCTTCAAAAAAAAAAAAAAAAACAGACCTAATTTTAGTCAACCTTAAAGCAAATAATGAAAAACTCATATTAATGCAATTAAAAATTAAAAAGTCAAAATAACACCAGATACTAGCAAAATCCAGCTGACTAGCAACTAGAGTGAAAACTGTGACTCCAGAAACTTGGAAAGTCTTGAAGAAATGGTCAGTTGCCTAGATGCATATAAAGTACCAAAACTGAACCAAAAAGACATAAAAACCCGAATAGTGCCTAAAGAGACAATGAAATATATAATTAGTGATATTCTTTCCTTAACACTTTTCAAAAAAAAAAGAATAAAATTAATTAGTTGCATGAAACTGATAAAAATTCATTATATTTTGAGGTGGGAAACAAAAATCTTCTATACATAAGAAGAGGTAGAAACATTTTTTGGCATAAATATGTAGCTTAAAATCACAAAGAATACTGAAAATTAGATACTGTATAAGCAGAGAAACATTATCCTATAAAGCTAAGTCTCCATCCAGTTATAAAGAACAGCAGTGCTTTCCTGCATTCATTAGCATAGAGTAGTAAGCTTCTAGTAACAAGTAAAATTGGAAAAGCAATGTAAACCAAGGAAAAGAGTGAGTGTAGGGAAAAAAAGTAGAAATATTCTTTCAAGCTATCTCTATCCTCAACATGGAGTAATTTTAGAATAATTTGATGATCACTATGAAATAAATGTCAACTGAGTAACATCAAACTTCAAAACCAAATTAGCTATTAATATTAAGTGAAATGCCAAATAATGATGTAACAGGGGAAAATGTGTCAATTTTAAAAACATAAGCTGATTTATATCAGTCTCTGCCATTCCATCTATGATGTTGCCATTTCAACAAAAAACTGAAAGGCATTAATAAGGACAGAGTAAAAATAACACACTCCCAAGAAAGACAACCATAAAAATATGCGAAAAAAGATGTTGGAGACACTAATGGGAAAGACATAAACATGAAAGCAAGAGAAACAGCAACAGAAGAGTTAGAATAGTTACAAAATTCTAATGGATATGACAGGACCAAAAATAGTGAATGCGTAATGAAGAATGTACTTGACAGGTTCATTAGTAGACCGAACTCCGCCAAAGCAAGAATCAGGCAGTCAATTTGAAGTTATTTAATATTGAAATTTGAATAATTTGAAATATAAACCAAATACTTGAATAAATCATCTGAGAGCCATGAGACAGCATTACACTATGTAGCATATTTCCACCTAAAAAACCAAAAGGACAGAAAAAATAAAACAATAAAATAAAGATTTGAAGACACAATAATTCTTCAAAACTAATTTCAAGTATAAGGTATCAAGAGTTAGCTAATAAATTCAGTGAACATCTATTAAATAACAGAAAGGGAAGGAAGAAAGAAAAGGAAAAGAAGAAACAAAGAAAGAAAAGCAAAAGTAGAAGCTAGAATATATATATATATATACATATATATATATATATATATATATATATATACATATATATATATATTCCAATGTCCACAATTCTATATCTACCAAAATATGCTTTTCAAATACTAAAAATAGACATTTCTTTAGATAAATAAGAATTGGCAGATTTCTTTGCACCTGATTTATTCTACAGTAACTATTTAAAAAAGTTCTTCAGGCAATAATAGTATCAGAGAAGAAGCTGGATTGACTCCTGTTTTGCTCTTTTTTCTCATCTAAAATACTGTGAAAGATGCGTTGGTGTCAAAATAAACATTGGTAGTAAAACAGCTTTTCATTAAAAATAAAATCTATGATAAAATATATTCCCAAATTGGAGGAGAATGAATGCAAAATATAAAATTGTAATGCATTATGTACTACATATGAAGTGTTATGATATATAAAGTGTTAAATAAAATGAAAGATAAACTGATCACTTGATGGAGCATTTAGTAATAATAACTAAATTATAAAAATTAGTAAGAAATGTTGAATGTTCAAAAGTAGATCATCTTAAGGTATTAAATGTAAAGGTGAATACTGACTAAAGCACAGCGTGATACAAGAAAGTAAACAGATATCTAAAAATTCAAAACTATAGACAAAATATACTAAATTCTTGAAAGTGCAACCTCTTAATATTCACTAAGGAATATTTCCTGAGTAGCATTATATCTAATTAAATAATGAAATAAGTGCTTAAAACTTTCCAATAACACCAACTATAAAAATTTCTTTGTCCAGACATTTAGCATGGTGAATTCTAATAAATAATAAGGACAGAAATTATATCAAACTTCCAAAATTTTAGACATTTTACCACTGATGTAGTGATGCAACACCATCTTCATGTCATAACTCAGGAAAAATCCTGCAAGGATGACAAAAAGAATACAGAACACTATCCCTTCTAATCACAAATAAAAAACTACTTTTAAAAGTCAAACAAATTTCAGTAATACATAAAATAGGCAACACTTTATAATTTATACTGTAATACTAGCACTATAACTGCTTTCCAAAAATATGGTGAGTTTAATTTAAAAAATTGCAATAGAAAGTATCATTTTGTCACCTCAAAATATCACCCTTCACTTTGGACACATTCATTGCATTGTTCTTGCCACTCACTGAAAGAGGACTCTGAAAGCCCTTTCATGGGTGTCTTTGGTTACTGCCTTGAAGGCTGCCTTGATTTTCCAAACAAATTTGAAACATTTATTGTCATGTTCACTAACACTTTTTTTGGGGGAAAAAGTTAGAATTCAAGATGCCAAATTTGGTGAATATCTTAGTTACTCATCTCTTTGCTGATGCAAAACACCCAACATCCAAATGTAAAGAAGAAAAAATTTATTTAGCTGATGGTTTGTAGAGGTTTCAGTACATAATCAGCTGGTTCCAAGGAAGGCTGGCATGGCACAGGGACATTTCAGAGGAGAAACGGTTCATGGCAGAGAGCAGGTAGCAAAGGAACAAGGGAACCACAGCTCTCTCTGCCCCTTATATCTTATTCCTAAGGGCAAGTAACACCCACACCCTTAAATTCTAGTGCCCCTAATCCTAGTATTGCACCATTAATCAAGCAGCATCACTCTAGGTCCAGCTACCCCTGAAAAAGCCCCATCTATACCACATGGACTTTAGGGGTACAATTATAGGCAGTGAAAAAGGTGATAGAGAAAATAAGGTTATATTTTTTGAGCTTTGTAATTTTTATTAGTATATGTTTGCGATACAGAGTAATTACATCTATTGTAGGGAATTGGTACACATATATATTATAATTACATCTATTGTGGGGAAGGAATTGGTATAAACACATACTATATCTTGATCCTTTTTACTTCCATCTCTCCTTTCCTCCCTAATGTGTCTGTGAGCTTGACTTTGCATTAGGAGACACTCAACAGCAGCATTCACCATATTTTAGTCACATATCAAAACAGCACTTAAAAAAGACTTGACAACTGTTTCGGGAAATAGCATTTTATTTCTTTGCTAAAGCTTTTCTTTTTTTCATTTTTCTTCAATTATATTAATTGTACTTAGTTTTTGGTTGAAATGTTTTTAACACCAATGATTCAAAACATAAGTTAAAAAATTCTGGCATCTCTTGCATTTCAGCACTGGCATCTCATCTGTCCTTTTTAGTTTACATTAGTATCTTGGTTCATATTTACATCTTCAACTTTAACCGGTATTTTTTGATTCTTTTCTTGGAGGCACAAGCTGACTGCCTGATTCCTCCTATGTGGCCTCTGAGGTAGCTCAACCTGTGAGGTAGCGTCTCACTACTGATGGCCAGGTGTAGAAGCTACAGCCGAGAGTGTAGTTGAATGGCCTAGTTATGGCCACTTGGTACCAAGTAAATTTGAAAGCACTCCTTAGCCTCCTCATCATGGGGAAGGTGCTTATTTCTGGTGCACGATAGTAGCTATGCACGGGGCTCTTATGGTGTCAGATGACACAGGTGATTAAAGTACTGGCTCCCTACTGGGCCTTTCCTGACAATACTTATGTCATGATTAGGTAGAATCTCATGAAAGTCGGGGGAGTGGATATTTTGTCTTAGCATTTAGTCTTTTCTGGTGTGTGCAGAGTCAACACCACTGTATTTTCTATGGTATTTTCCTGAAGTATCATCATCACAAATTAAATGTTTTCTTTATTTCTGTGCTGCCTCTGTAACTGTTACATGGCTGTATGGAAGAAGCCTTTATTGAATCTTTTAAAATACCTTTGTGCAATTTTTGGATAAAGTTAATATGGAGAAAATTCAGGGTTTGAATAAAATGGTTCCCAAGTAGTTATATATTTTTGCTTAACAATATGAAAAAATTACACACATTAGTTTTAAATATAAAAATTGTATACAAAAACCTAGGATAATAAATTTGTAAAATAAGTTAGGCAACAAGTTTAGCAAAACACCACCAAAGATACATCTATAAAAGATAATACTGTGGAGTCCTTGCCAACTTAAAAGTAGCTCTCCAGCAGCATTATTAAAAGGAGGAAAACAATAAGTTATTGATCAAGAAAATATACTTGAAATAATTTATGTATCAAGTAACAAGACCCAGAATATGAGTTATAAAAGAATCTTTATAACAACATAGTTCTAAAAACAAAATATAATCCAAAACCAACAGCAATGATCAAGTGATATTAATAAAATCTTTATAAAAAAAACTGGCAAATAAACCTTGAAACTGTGCGCTAAATAATTAGCCCTTAGGAATATAGAAATTAAAATCAATGTCACACCAAAAATAAATAAATAAAACTAATATAATGAACAAATACTTCATAAATTCTTTTCGAGGAAAAAGTAACATGAGGAGTTTCATTTCAGTACATGCCAACTAAGATGTAATTTTAATCTGCATACACTATTGCTAGAGATTATACATGATAGAACACAGTTTCTTAAATATTATATATATTCTTACATATATTCGAACAAAACCAGTTCTAAGCAGTTACTCAAGAAAAATAATCATTATTTGTTATTTGTCTAAAATCCATACATGAATATTAATAGTGTCTTCATTTATAATAAGCCAAGCATAAAAACATCTCAAATACCCTTCAATATGTGAACAGATGAATAAGACATTGAATATGTATTCAATGGAATAACCATCAGTGATAGAACAAAATCAACAAATACATACACAACACATGGATAAATACCAGGTATTTTTCTGGGTAAATGGAACTGCTTCTATTTCTATAATACTTATCAAAAGATTAAAAATAGAGGTGGAGTACAGATCACTGAAAGTTTTGAGTTTCTTTGACAAAAATGGAGCAGCATAGGAAATTACAGGTGATGTCTTGTTCAGTGTGTACTTTTGTA